TGCTGAAGCACACGAGTGATGCGGTCTTAAAGTCTTTGAAGGATGCAGGTTCCGTCATAAACACATGCTGCTTAAAATAGCCCCAGAGGAAGAAACCCGGGGGAGTGAGGTCAGATGATCGAGGGGGCCAAGACACAGGTCCACCCCGTCTCAATCCACTGATTGCCAAATAGGTTATTCAGTTTCTGACGGATCGTGAGAGCAAAGTGGGGAGTGGCACCGTCCAGTTGGAACCACATTTTTGCGCCGTGTATTCGGTGGCAAATCATGAAGAAACCCAGCTACAGTTGTGTCCAACACTTGCCCAAATGCGTGTTGGTCCACATGCCCTTCGAAGAAGTGTGGTCCCACAACCACGTCACCAAGCAGACCACACCACACAATCACCTTCTCGGCACCAAGTTTGTCCAATTGGCGCATCCAAGCTGGGTTAGTCTGGGACCAGAAACGCGCATTATGTGTGTGAGCATGACCATCCAAAAAGAGACATTCATCAGTAAACATCACATGTTGCAGAAAGTCGGGATCGCAAACAAAGACTTTAGACAAAGTTGATTATTTTTTCTCATTTGTCAAGTGACTTTTGTGTCACACTGTATATCGCATATTTATCCGCTCTAAAAACTTATTCCCCAATAATCAGTCCCCCCTTGAAATAAGAAGACTCCCACGTTCCTACACAGTAAGAATAGAAATAAACCCAAGAAAGATTAGTAAGTTGGGTTCACAAACTACAGACACAAAGATCCATGCAATGGGATCCATTTTTTTTAATTCAAGACAATTTAAAAGTTCGCCAACTGATCGCAAGAAATCGCCCATATTCTTATAGGAAAAAAATCATGTAGAAGGTGCGTTGAAAGAGACCATCTCGGATTTATTGTCCCTGGCAAGGTTTTTCCCAGTTCCAGGAACCAGTCAAATATTTTTCATCGAACCATCGATGGCTTTTCGTCGACGCACATATAAGCCATAGCTGGGTCATCACTGCATATGATTGCCTTACGGTTGGTTTAAGCCGGCTTCGGGTCGGGCATATCCTGTTGGCCCTGCATCGGGCCAACTTGGCTCGCTGTTGGGAGAATGCACATACTTCAACCATCTTCATCTGGGAGAGTTGGAGAGTACCAGAGTACCTTACGCTGGTACGCTCCTATCGCCAAGAGCTGAGAATATCCCAAGCAACATCCTTTCCGTATGCTAAAGCATCCAGGAGTAGAATAGCATCATGGAAATGCAAGGGTGTCTGTCCTCCCGCAGGAGACCCATGCATGCCTTACATGCAACAAGCTTTCCAATGTCGACGAGTGCAAAAAATAGGTCGCGTGGCTTACCGTGGAAAGTAGAAGGATCGTCCCACGGACCTCCGGGTCGGAATTTCCTGGTTTATTCCATGGCTAGGTTACATCTTCAGAGAAATGTTTTAAAGTATTCGATTGTCTTCCTCTGAGATCTACTGTATGTGAGAAGCCATAGGGAACCGTGTCCATGGAACAGGGGACTCATTTCAGTAGAATCCGGGAAGCGACTCCCTACTACGACCACTTTTGCTCCATCCCACACCGGTTTTCGGAACCGGAGCAGCCACATTCGTCGAAAAAGAGCCAATCCTCCTAGCTATGGCCCGACGATAAACTAACGAAATTTTTTTACTGGGAGCAAGCCCACCTCACGCAAGAGTGGAATGAAATAATCTCTAGAAAAGATGACCGCTGAAGAAGATGCTTAACTAAGCACACATTTCAAGCGGAAATTGATTTATATTTGTTCGTAAGAGAAACATTTTCCGTAGGATTGGTGTTGCATCCCTCAGTAATGGAAATTTCTGAGGGGTGCAATTCATTTCGGCGTCATTCCGAAACGGTTGCTTGGCACCGTTCCGATTCGAATTCCACTCTCGCGCGAAAACTGTCTCTCCTCATCGAATGGACCCACATAATTTTCTGGGCTCACGTATTTTGCAAGAGTGGAGAGAGGACCCTCATCCTAGATCTAAATCACTTTTAAAAAAGTATATTTCTATCAATTTACATTTTTTCGTCATACTCTCGCTTTCAGCATGAAAATGACTGCCGGTGATCCATGAGAAACCGGCAGTCATTTTCTTCTCCGGATTCTTGGACCGACTTCTTACTTATGCGAAAATTGCCTCGTGTAATATTTGCAGTTCAAAACTGGTAGATGTTAGAGTTTTTGGATATTTCTTGCAGCCATTCGACTGTAAATCTTGACACTTGCTGTGCCCGCATGCACCTACGAACAGTATTCGTTACGATTGGTTGAGAGACGGTTGTCCCTCTCGTATCGGGACTAGGCCGGACCCGATTCCTTGAATTCCACTTCAAACCCTCAAGCAAACTATCGTTAGTTAAGTTAGTCAAGAAAGTCGCCTCGCCCGCCGAAGTAACTCGAAAGAGATGCGAATCGAAGAACCGCGATCGAAGAGGTCGAGGTTGGAGGAAGGTGCAAGAGCCTAGAAGTTTCGTAGAGGGAAGGAGGGGAGAATGGAGGAGAGGAAGGAGGACAGGAAGGAGGGGAGAATGGAGGGTCTTCTCTTCAAACCGGTGGAAGGAGGGCGTCGAGGTCTGTTGCAATCGCTAGCGAAACACGCCGTGATAGTGGAGCTAAAGCGAGAGGATTTCCCTGCTGATCTTTTTCGACGCTCTCTGACCATCTCTGTGATTGCATCTGAATTGAATCTCGATAGGAAGTGGATAGCTTGTGAATTTCATCTGAATTGCTACTGAGTAGCGTTTGAATTTCATCCACCTGGATGAGATTTGGGTTGGACGTTCGAGCCTTACTTGTTCAAAAGTTCGGATATTAGGAGCCATTCGGGTTTCGCCGAGCACCGCGTCGATCATTGACATCAGTCTCGATTCCAGTAATGGATGAATAAATGATACTCGTATAAACAATCCTCGTGAGAAAAAAAAAGGTAGAATGACAGGTTCGTCTTTTCTGCAACAGCTTTCCAACGGTTCCTGGAGAGGTTTCCAGCATTGAAAGAGATTTTGTTCGGGAAGTCGGAGCGGCATCCCTGGCTGCGACTCTTTGGCAAAACGGCGACGGGAGGAATTTTGGCGGGGATCTTCCATCTCCTCGT